GCTGTACTTCCTGAGGAGGCTGAGGAGGTTTGGTATGTTGCCTAGGATCCTTTGCAACTTCTACAGCTGCATCATTGAGAGCATCTTGACCAGCTGCATCCCTGTCTGGTATGGCAGCACTACTGTTATGGACCGCAAGCACCTGCAGAGAGTAGTAAAGTCTGTGGAGAAGCTCACCAGGACTCCACTTCTCTCTCTGCAGAGCATTTACCACTGCAGGGTGCGTAGGAAAGCTGTCTCCATCCTCAAAGATCCCACCCACCCCCAGCACGGACTGTTCGCCTCTCTAACCTGTGGCCGGAGGTTCAGAAGTGTGAAATGCAGGACCTCCAGACTGAAAAACTCTTTCTTTCCCTCTGCCATCAGACTCCTAAACAGCTGAGGAGTTTATTACCAGGAAATACGCCATGTACTGTCGACCTGTATTGTTTACATTCTCAGTTTGCATATGCATAATTGCACATTGACTGTTGACTCCTGCACATGCCCATTCCCATGCAGCATACATTCTCTTATTATATTCTTATATATTTTTATTATATAGCTGAATTTGCTGCTTAAAGTGCCTTAGATTTTGTGTTACTTATTTATCTACTTTATCTTTCATTTGTATTTTGTGGCATTCATGCGGACGGCAAAGTAAGAATTTCATTGTACAGGGAAACACGTTTCCTAACTGTGCATATGACAAATAAACACTTTGAACTTGACTGTTTACATGGCATATACAGTATGTACTGAGGTGATAGAGTGTCTGTGAATGAGTCTAAATATATATTTAGTGTTTTAAAAGATGAAGAATATTTGAATCCATTATTCAGTGCTCACATCTTTGTTGCTGTAAAAACCACTGTATGATTAAAATCTACACTTTTTAAACTTGTAAAGTAGTGCCATAATAATGATCATGTCAATTTTCTTTCTCATTCTTTACTTTGATATTTTTGTATTTATTTATTTTATTTGTATTCACCACCTGGGATATAGAAGAGTTAGTAACATGCAATGACAAATATGTAATTTATTAAATGGAAACCAAATGGAAGCAAGGTAAAGCCCTACCAGCAAAATTAAAAGACATGATTAGAACTTCCTTCATATGACTCAACAATAGATTAACAGGGTCCAGCCAGCGTAACATATAATACAGTCACATGCTACTTTTGTAGGAGGTGGTGCATAGTGAGACATATCCTACCTATAGCACAAACATCCTATCACCCCCACCAGTTTCCTTTTCCTTCCCTGCTGTATCCCAGTCTGGTTTCGCCTGCCACCATCACTGCTGCTGCTGCTACTGCCGCTGCACAGAGAAGGAATTTACATTTTAATAGGCAGAGCTGCTCACCGTCTCCGAGTGAGGGTATGTGTTCAGGCAAACAGCAGGAAACGCACCCAGGTGCACAAGTTTCCAATGAACCCTCCAGTCAATTTCTGGGCCAGGGAGAATGATATTTTTAGCTGCTGAGCCCCCCTGTCTGGAACGTATGGCAGCATATATAGAAACATATATACACACATACATATTTTATAAGACAAACTACATCTCTGAAATGAGATTTGATATGATGCCACCTTAGATCAGGGGCAATAAAGTGAGAATGTGAGACTGTTTGACCTGCAGAATTCATTCACTCCCTGCAGAATACAGGGAGTGGATAGAGACAGAGAATGAACAGAGCAGTGGCAGCAGCAGAAACAAGGCCTGGCTGGGGGCCAGTGTGATCACAGAGCATGATGGTTCCATCACAGCTGTCATTAGACACCAAAATAAAGGCACATCAAGAGCAGGATGTAGAGGAAGACACGAAGAGGGGAGGATGGTCCTCATCACTCCTGCTCTGTCACAAGGCCTCTTGATGAAGTGACAGCCCTGGAGCATTGGGAGAGAGGTCAGTATGAGTGCACCTCCAGAGCTATAGACAGCAGAGAGAGATTCAAACCCAGTTTCCAGAAAGGCCATGATCACATGGTTTCTGTTTTTGTATTTCTAAATAGCTGATTTAATGAATGGAAAGAAGAGTCACACAGAAAAGCAATCATAAAATTAAGTTGTCAATTCACTCAAAAACTAAATGAAAATCAGTGGTACATGTACTATGAACAGTGTTGTCATAGTTACAAACTTACATAGAAATATCACCACTTCTACAGTCTCCTTGAGCTCTATGGAACATTTAGCATCTTTTGACTAATTGTTTTCAATTTATTTAGTGTACTTGTATTATGCATACATATATATATATATTATACATGCTGTCAGCAGATGTTTTCAGCAAAAAAGCTCTGATAAATCCACTGTACACTACCTGCTTAGCACCAAACAGCAGACAGTGTTGGAGAACATAGTGGAGCATTTAGCAGCTGAAGAGAGAGAAACTGTTGGAGAACACACCAGCTAAAAGATAATGAATGCTGGACTGACATTCAAATGGACACAAACACAACTCAAAATGAATGTGCCCGCTGGGAAACGATCATGCAGGTATGAAAAACATTACCCTTTACACTTATTCCTCATTTTATCATTGCAAAATTTGAAGCAAGGGCAAGACGTATGGTTGAAAAGGTAGTTTTGACAAACAGCTGGTGAATCTATTTGTACTTTTTAAATTTAAAACACTTTTTAAGACTTTGTTTGGAAGATGATAGCATCCATACATGCCCTTTGTGTGGGAATCGTCTTTCATGGTTGTCGGAATCATTTTTCTTGTTACAGCTGAACATCAGCTGTGGCTCACAGGCACAAACGATGTAATCTCCTACACCAGGGAGGCGCTTATGCATTGTGCTTCACTAGTACAAGTCTTGAGACATCTACTGACCTGCCTTGACCTGCCACTCAAGAGCTGTGAAGGCAACAGCTACCATGGACATTTGTTCCCCCATGAGACAGAAGTAAAACTCGGTGCACCTGTTACGGCCGAGCCGTATCTGAACAAAGGCAGGACTCAAGAAGGTGCAGTACTCGTACCCAGGCTGGAGATATATTTATTTTCAAATAAACGAGAGAAAATAAAGGAGGCGGCCCGTGTGAGGCGCGGAGATTCTACTGTGGGTCTCGGGCAGCTGGGGCCGTGGTAACAACTGGACCGCTGGAGGAGCAACCCGGGGTCGGAGGTCAGGTGGCACACAATGTACTGGAACAGAGAAGGAGAGCGTGAGGGAGGACAATGGACAGATGAGAGAAAGATGGAAACAGTACAAGGACAGATGACCTGCGTGAGAGAGTGCTGGCTTGGGAAGGGAGAGCGCCGCTGGCTGGAAAGGTTGTCCCAGGAGGCCGGGACTGGCATGGGGTAGTGAAGTCTCAGAGGCAGCAGAGCAGGTCAATGGCAGTCGAGGAGAGGTACAGCACGAAGACAGGAGCAGGCGGATCACAGAAACACTCCTCGGGAGTACAGTTCATAAAAATAAATGAAACACAAGGCAATAGTCACCAGCTCAGTTCAGCAGAATAACATGACTTTTACCAGAATAGTTCGATGTTGGAAGACATGGGGATGGAGCATGTACCATACGCGAAGCTACCGTCAGATCATTATCATTATGGTAGTGACACAGATGTGGCTTCAGCCTGATGCCCTCAATGCGTATGGCTCGCAGGAGTGTGTGTGTGCTTTATCCTATGACATCAAGTAAAAAAGGGCAGGCCATTGTAAAGAAAAACAACACATACAGTAGTATATACTGATGTCACTTAAAGACATTCTTGCAGCTTTATCCTTAAGCTTAAGAGCGTAAGCTTTCTTGCATTGTCAAATGGAGGAGGGAGAAATTTGAGGCTGTACATGAAGATGCATAGAGGTATTCCCATGGTAGGAGATGTAGAAGAGTCAAGAATCTTTATTATCATTATGCATAGCACAACGAAATTTTTTCCGGCAGCTCTCAGCTTAAAAGACACATAATTGTATAAGTCAATATAAAACAATGAGCAAATAAAAAGGGATGTACGGGACCTAATCCGCTCAGAAGCATGTTAGCAGCAAAAGAGTGTAGTAACATTATAAGGTGCAGCTCTGTGCAGGTATACCAACAGAAAAAGTCCTGGCGAAAAATGATTAGGTACTTTGTGGCTTTTTCAAGAAGAAGCTAAACAAAGTTGAAGTCGGAAGTTTACAACCCCAAATCACAAAAAGTTGGGACAGTATGAAAAATCAAAATTAAACCAGGATATGTCCTTTAAATCACACATAAACCAAGTCTCTAGAACTGCCTTCTTTCACCTGCTCAATAAAACCAAAATCAGGAACACCCTCGCTCAAAGTGATGCTGAAAAACTGGTCCATGCATTTGTTACTTCCAGGCTGGACTACTGTAACTCTTTAATATCACAATGCCACAATAATTCCACAAAAAAACTCCAGTTAATCCAAAATGCTGCAGCCAGAGTACAGGAGACAGGAACTACCAAGAGAGCTCATATTCTCCTATGTTAGCTTCCCTGAAACTGAAAAAGATGACTTATAAATCTTCTGTGTCCTGTATTACATTGAAAACAATACAGTAGCACATTATTTGATGTAATGCCTCGTTATTCAAAATATGTTTAAATTCTGTGTTAGGGTGCGCTCGAACACAGAGTGAGTGAGCAGATAAAAAGCGGACCCAGGTGGCTGGCTTCAGTGCAAGCAGTGAGGTTTATTTACAGTGAAGGTAGTGACATATATACAGGAGGAGTAATGAGGTAAATGACCAGGTGTCGATCAGCAGCAGCAGAAAAACAGTCAGTGGTATGGTGGATGATGATGTACCGGTCTGCGGACGCAGAGGTCACTCCTGGGCTGGTCGAGGTGGAGGTGATGATGGCTGTAGACAGAAGAGCAGGGATAAACTGGGTAAGGGAGACTAGGGTGCTAACAAGGACTAGAGAGAACAAAGACAATCTTAGCATAAACTTGATAAAACAACATAACAACCACTGGCCTGAAGACAGAGAAAGAACTGGCAGGGGAGTGACTGGTGAACAGTGTATAAGTATGGAGGAGACTAATGAGGTGCAGCTGGTGAGTAATCAGGGAAGCAGGGCAGGTGTGTTGAATAGTGTAATCAGTGCAAGGGCTAGGCTAGTGTGAGGAAAAAGAAGAGAGGAAGGTGTAGCTGGGCAAACCTGACATGTTGCCTGCAACACATACCAAAAAAGTTGGGATGGTTGCATTTCAAGGCCAGTAATGAGGTAAAACAGTGAAATAATGATTTGATTTGAAACAGCTGATGTCAACAGGTCATTGCTGTCATGATTTGGTACAAAGGTGGCATCCAGGAAAGGCCAAGCCCTTTAGGAGCAAAGATTGGCTGAGAATTGCCAGTTTGCCAACATATACTTAAGAAAATTATTGAAATGCTTAAAAACAAAGTTCCTCAAAAAAAGATAGGAGGGGATTTTGATATGTCACCCTCTATGGTGCATAATGTAATTAAAAGATTCAAAGAATCTGGAGGGATTTAAGTGCAAGGGTGCAAGCCTGACTGGATGATCTTGCTCTTTGATCCCTCAGATGGCACTGCATCAAGAATCACCACTCTTCTATAAGCGATATAAATTACTTTGGCACACCTGTGTCAGGCACTACAATATGTAGTTACATCCATAAATACCACTTAAAACTGTACTGTGTCAAAAGGAAGCCCTATGTCAACAGTGTCCAGAAGTGCAGTTCACTGCTCTGGGTGTTGAGGCATCTGGGATGGACCATCACATAATGGAAACGTCTACTGTGGTCAGATCTTTTTTGGAAGGAATGGATGCTGCATGCTCCAGACCAAACACGAAAAGGACCATCAAGACTGTTAGCAGCAACAAGTCCAAAGGCCAGGGTCTGTCATGGTCTGGGGTTGTGTCAGTGCCCTTGGCAAAAGTAACTTACACTTCTGTGATGGCTCCATTAATGCTAAACAATACATAGAGATGTTGGAGCAACATATTCTGCCTTCAAGATGTCTTTTCCAGGGACGCCCATGCATATTTCAACAAGACAGTGCAAAACCTCATACTGTGCACATTACCAAGGTCTGGCTGTGGAAAAGGGTGTGAGTGCTGGATTGGTCTGCCTGCAGTCCCAACCTGTCCTCAGTAGAGAATGTGTTGCACATTTTGAAATGAAAATTGTGGCAACAAAGACCCATGACTGTTGTGCACCTTAAAACCTGATTGCAGAAAGAACGTGACAAAATTACATCTGACACATTTAATAACTTGGTGTCCTCAGTCCCTAGACACCTTTTTTGGAATATGTTGCAGCATCAGCATTGAAGTGAGTGTTTATTTTGAGCAAAGAATAAAACATCAAACTAGAGAAGTGCATTTTCTGAAGAAAATGCGTATGGATGCTGAGTGCTGAAAGATTGCCCTGAAAATGCTGAACATTTTGACACTTGAATAGTTTTTCTAACTAAAAGTATGGTGAAGTAAAATTTCCCCATTCGTTTGAATGGGGCAAAAAATTGCTGAAAAACACTAAATAGTTTAAAAAGTTTAAAGGTTATAAAAAATAAAAATACAAGCAGAAATGTCCTTAAAGAGGTGAACATTTTGATACCTGAATGGTTTTTGTAGCTGAAAGTATGCTGAAGAAATTAAGTGCCAAAAAAAGATGGACAAAATCAGAAGAAAAACTAGAGAAATGCATTTCCTGTTGTAAATGCGTTTGGATGTGGTGTGCTGAAGGATCGTCCTGAAAATGCTGAACATTTTGACACCTGAAAGGCATATTTACCTCAAAATAAAGCTAAATATTTTAAAAGTGTGAAGTGTTGAACAATTCTCAATAGAGGCATGAATGTCCTTGAGGAGCTCAACATTTTGATACCTGAAATAGCTGAAGGTATGCCAAAGTGGAAATTTCCCATTCATTTGTATGGGGCAAGATTTTCAAAATAAAGCTAAATATTTTAAAAGTGTGAAGTTTAGAAAAATTCTGCATAGAAGCATGAATGTCCTTGAAGAGCTGAACATTTTGATACCTGAAATAGCTGAAAGCATGCTGATTTTGAATTTTCCCATTCATTTGAATGGGGCAAGACTTTCAAAATAAGCTAGATATTTCAAAGGTATGAGATTTAGAAAAATTCTGAACAGAAGCATGAACATTTTGATAACTGAAAGTATGCTGAAGTAAATTTTTCACATTCATTTGAATGGGTCGAGATTTTCAGAATAAAGCTAAATATTTTCTGAATCCATTTAACTAAATATTGTAGTTGATTTGCTAAGAAATTACGCTGAAAATTTGGTGCTTCTAGGCTACCTTGTGATTTCTTCTTCTGAAGTGTTGACAGGGAAATTTTTGGTTTCTTGTTATTCCAGTAAAATTATGAAGTTAGAGAATCAAGTGATTTGAACCATTTAACTGTGGGTGTTGTCAGAAGCACTGAAAACAGTTAATTTGTGGTAAAATGAGAGATTGGACCAGCGTTTGAAATCATCTAAGCATTTGACACAATCAATCATGAATTATTAATGGACAAGTTAGAAAAATATGGGATCAGAGGCATGGTTCTGAAATGGATTAGAAGTTATTTGACACAGAGGCGTCAATTTGTGAAGTTGGGTGAATACCAATCGAGTGAGCTGGATATTGTATGTGGAGTGCCTCAGGGTTCTGTTTTGGGACCTAAATTATTTATATTATACATTAATGATATATGCAAGGTTTCTGATTTAGTGAAAGTGGTTTTGTTTGCTGATGACACTACCATATGGGCATCAGGTGAAGACCTACAGCAACTCTCTGGACAGGTTTCACAGGAACTTGAGAAGATAAAGAAATGGTGTGACAGTAATATACTATATCTGAATTTGGATAAAGCTAAATTTATGGCATTTGGGAATCGTACACTAGATAATGAACTTCAAGTGAAAATTGGGGGAGCTAATATAGAACGA